AGTGGGCGTTCACTCGACCCCTGGCGTCGCCTATGAGTCGCACCACTGGAACAGATAATGAGTGATAATTAGTGGTGTCTTATGGTGTCGTGTCTTAAGAGTGTGGACACAAACTCGTGGTCTGAAGCGATGTCCCATTGGATGGCCGGACGAGGGTTTGAGTGAAGAGTTTGGCTGAAGAGTGGCCACAGATAGCGGTGTTTCGCAGCACTGATAGCATGTCTGAAGTGGTGGTAGACTTAACAGTGAGTGGTGTCTAAGAGTTGATCCAAAAGATCCGATTCGTGTTGTGGTGAAGACTTTCTGATGCAATGACAGACTGTTTGCGAAGTTTTTCGTAAACAACGGTCACATGAATGACGTCCACATAGACTATGCGTTCAAATGTCCGTAAATAACGTGAGCACAAGAATCGCTTGATTTCTGTGTGAAATACAATTCAATAGGAATTTATTTATTTGATGAAGAATTGGGTCATCGATTAGGCTACCGGTGCTGATCACATGTAAGACCTCACATATAACTCATGTTGGACAAATTATTAATTATAATTTATATTATAATTCCCCATTAATTTACTCATAAAAATATGAAATGTTTGAATAAATTATAAGTTTTATTCTGTAAATGCTTTAATACTACATTTGTATACTAAAATTTTCATTAATTACTTAATTGGGTATTTTATTGACTTATATTTAAAACGTAGTTGTCCATGATTATATATTAATAATAGTAGGACTTATTTTATTGATTTGATAACATTTTAGTAAAAAACAAAATAATTATTAGAAAATAAATAATCCATAATAAATACAGTAAGTACTTACGTAATTAAAAATAATTTTTTCATCTTAGGACAAAATTTAATAAATAACAAGCGTTTAAATAGTAATTTAAAAAATATCTGTTCAATATCATTAATACAATAAAAAAATATCTGTATTTTGTAGATTGTACAATATTATTGTTAAATTAAATTGAAATTAATTTTACAACATATTTATTAAATGAAGTAAAAATGCTACATTTTAAATCATATGTAAAATTATTGGTGAGAGTGTTTTGTTAAGTTTTATTCCCCTTATATGTATTGAATTGAAATATAATTTGTTTAATATTTTAAAAATACTAAAATATGTATTTTATAAACATTTGTCGACATTTATATTCACAAATAAGTGACATAACGTTTTATTTCATATATGTATTAGCATGGTGTATTAAAGTATTTAAATTAATTAATACATATTTAATACATATTTTTAAAATTATAATAGGATTTACATTCAAATCTTATGTAAAACTATTGGTGAAAGTGTTGTGTCTTTCAGTGCTATTCTATAGTGGAATAGAAGTGACAAAAGAGTACTTCA